GCGCAGCACAGCGCGGCGCAGCGCAGCGCGGTGCGTTGCAGCGTCGGGAGAGGCGACGGGGAGGGGAGAGGTGCCGAGCGGGGCGCACACGCGCGCAGCCTCAGCCTGCCGCGCTGCGTTCCGCCCGCTGCGCCGCAGGTGATGGGCATTGCGGGGGTGGACACGCGCGCCATCACCCGCCGCCTGCGCGTGGACGGCTGCCTCAACGGCGTCATCTGCACAGACGCCTCCATCAGCGGTGAGGCGCCCGCGCCTGCCCCTGCGCCAGGCCGGGCCCGGGGCCGGGCCCGGGGCGCAGCCAGGCGCCCTCTTCCGGCCCGGCACCTGCTCTGGCTGCCCAGCCGTGTGCCTCCCATGCTCCCCAGGCGCACGCCCCCCTCCCTCCCACGCCCTGCCTGCCTCCCTGCCACCCCGCCCCGCAGACGAGGACCTGGTGGCCCAGACCAAGGCGTGGACCATTGTGGGCAAGGACCTGATCAAGGAGGTGACCTGCTCGGAGCCGTACGAGTGGCAGGACCCCACGGGAGAGGAGTGGGAGTTTGCGCCCGAGGGTGAGCCCGCCCGCAGCGAGGCCCCGCCCTGGGCCTGCGCCTCGCTTGCGCTGCTCCTGGTGTGCTGCCGTCGCAGCCAGCCAGCCCGGCCGTGCGCCGCCGCCCCGGCCAACCAGCGCTCGCCGCGCCCTTCCCCGGCCCCTGCCCGCCGCAGCCAAGGCCGCGGGTGGGAAGAAGCTCAAGGTGGTTGCCTACGACTACGGCATCAAGCTCAACATCCTGCGCCGCCTCACCTCCTTTGGATGCTCCGTCACCGTCGTCCCCGCCGACTACCCGGCAGACAAGGTGCTGGCCATGGACCCAGACGGCGTCTTCTTCTCCAACGGCCCGGTGAGCCAGGGGACACAGCAGCAGCCGCTGCGCTTGCGGGGGGAGGAGGGCGCTGCGGATGGCTGGGCTGGCCTGGGGCTGGCCTGGGCTGACGCCCTGGCCTGGCCTGGCGCTGGCGCCGCGTCGTGCGGCGCGTCCCGCAGCGGAGCTGGGCGTGGCCTTGGCTGGGCCCATAATGGGGTGGTGTCTTGAGGCATGGGTGGGCGAGTGCGTGGCCACGGCCCTCCCCCAGAGGCCTGCCTCTTCTTTTGACCATCCGCTGCTGCCTGCCTCCTGGCGCCCCCCCCGCACTGCCCCCTCCCTGCAGGGCGACCCGTCTGCTGTGCCGTACGCGGTGGAGAACGCCAAGCAGATCCTGGGCAAGAAGCCCGTGTTTGGCATCTGCATGGGCCACCAGGTCCTGGGCCAGGCCTTTGGCGGCAAGACCTTCAAGCTCAAGTTTGGGCACCACGGCGGCAACCACCCGCTGCGGCACACCCCCACCGGTGCGCCGCATGCCCGCCACGCCGCCACGCCTTGCCTGCCGGCTGGGGGGTGTGTATCGCGGGCATGTGGCGTCCCAGGGGCTGGGCTGATGCGTTTCTGCCGCTGCTGCTGTTGCTGAGCGAGCTGCCAACTCACCCCCTGCCGTGACCCTGTGCGTCCTGACCCCCTCCTTTCCCCTGCCATGCAGGCCGCATCGAGATCAGCGCCCAGAACCACAACTTTGCGGTGGACCCCGCCACGCTGCCGCCTGAGGTCGAGGTGGGTGGCGCTGGCCTGGCAGAGCGAGAGGGGGTTGCGCAGCAGCGGGCCTCGTGGTGGGGTGACCCTCTCCCAACCCACCCCCACCCGCCAACACCACCGCCAGCGCCTCCACCCGCTGCTCTCACTTCCTTGGCTGCCACCCCCTCCTCCCCATCGCCTCCCTCCCCTGCAGATCAGCCTGATCAACCTGAACGACGGCACCTGTGCCGGCATGGTGCACCCCGGCCTGAAGGCCATGACGGTGCAGAGCCACCCGGAGGCCTCCCCCGGACCCCACGACAGCGACGTGGCCTTCAGCCAGGTACATGCCGGCATGCACGCTTGGGTGCCCTCGTGCATGGCCAGCCAGCCTGCCAGCTGCGGCGCTCTGCTTGTACACGTGGTCTCCACGCTCCGCTCTCTCCCTCCCCCCTGAGGGACGTGTTTGTGTTGGTTCTGCTGCAGTTCATTGCGTACATGAAGGAGGCCGCGAGTGTGCCGGCATGAGGCAAAGCAGGCAGAGCCTGCATGCCGTCCCCGAGAATGCTGACCGTGTGACCATTGATGATATTTTTGTTCTGTTCTCTTCCTCTGTTCGCATCCGCTCCATCTCTAATCCATCTGGCATCCTGTAACTGTGGCAAACACGCATGGTGTGAGACTCACCCGGCATCACATCACATCATCCCGCCGCCGACATGTGGCACTGTCACCCAGCGCCACAGGAATAGCGATCTGTTATTGTCGGCGGCCCAATTCTTCTTCTTCTTCTTCTCGCAAGCACCATGGCGACTCAGGCTAAGCTCATGTCTGTGCGTTCAACGTTCGCGACGCGCCCATCCCCCCGGCGCCTTTGCCGCTTGCGGGTGTGCGCCGTGGCTCCCAGCCTCGAGACCATCCAGGGCGCTCGCCAGGCCATCAAAGACATGATCGCCAAGACGCACAGCAACGTGAGAGAGAAGTGGGGTTTGGCAGGGGTTGTCTGTGCAGCTTGCACTGCGCAAAGCACGCAGCTTTGAGCACCACAAGGGTCGGGATCATCGATCCGGGGGGAGCTGCGGCTGTCGGTCCCACGCCGAGCTCCGCCGCCACGGCTTGACGCCACCGCCGCCATCGGAAGCCACCGGCCCCCCAGCTTCTCCAGGACTTGCCGCTGCTGCATTTGCCTCGCTTGGTCGGTTTCTCTCTCCTCTGTGGGCTTGATTGTACGCACCGTGCCTCCCCGCCTCCCTGCCACGCAGCCCATCCTCATCCGCCTTGCGTGGCACGACTCGGGCACCTACAGCGTGGAGGCAGCCCAGGAGCTGCCCTGGCCGCGCGCCGGCGGCGCCACCGCCAGCATCCGCTTCAAGCCGGCAAGTCTTTTCAGACGGGGCACCCTGTGCATGGGGGCTGCCAATGGTGGTGCCGCAGCAGGTGCAGAAACGAAGCTCAGGTGCATGTGCGCGGCGCGCCTGCGTTGCCCGCCTGCAGGAGATGAGCCACGGCGCCAACAACGGTCTCACCATCGCCATGAACCTCATCAAGCCCATCCAGAAGAAGTTCCCGGATCTGGGCTGGGCAGACCTGATCCAGCTGGCCAGCGTGGTGGCGGTGGAGGCCGCGGGCGGGCCCTTCATCCCGCTGAGGCTGGGCCGCAAGGATGCAGAGAGCGAGGAGCACTGCACGCCCGACGGCCGGCTGCCCGCGGCCGCTGCGCCTTTCCCTGACGAGGCGCCCACTCCCGCGCAGGTGGGCTGACGCTGCTGGTGCCCCACCCTCTGGAGCATGCAGTGAGCGGCAGCTCTGGGGCAGGTGGGGAGGCCCTGTCGGCCTCCCATCAGTGAAATGAACAACCCCACCGCTGCTGTGATGGCCCACCCCTGCTGTCTCCCTCTCCTGCCTGCCTGCTCGCCTGCCCACCCCGCAGCACCTGCGCAACGTGTTCCACCGCATGGGCCTCACGGACAAGGACATTGTGGCGCTGAGCGGGGCCCACACGCTGGGGCGCGCCCGCCCCGAGCGCAGCGGCTTTGGCAAGGAGTCCACCAAGTACACCAAGGAGGGGCCGGGGGCGCCGGGGGGCTCCTCCTGGACCGTCCAGTGGCTGCAGTGAGTGCACAGCCGGCGCCACCCCTCCCTCCCCGCCGCCCGCATTCACTGGCTGCTGCCACAGGCACTCATCAGCGCCACCCACTCAACACATATGTGCATGCTGTGTGGCCCTCCTGTGTGCCCCCCTCCAGGTTTGACAACTCGTACTTCAAGGACATCAAGGAGCAGATCGACGAGGAGCTGCTGGTGCTGCCCACCGACGCGTGCCTGTTTGAGGACGAGGGGTTCAAGTGAGCGCCGACTCACTGACACATGCCGGATGAGCTGCGCTTTGCGCTGGCAGGCAGCCTGGATCAGGATTATGACAGCGGTGCTTCGCTTTGATGCCCAGGGCCAGCCCGTTCCAGCCCGCCCAGCCGGCCAGCCCACGATCCGTCGTCCCTCCGCAGACCCTCCACACCGTGCTCCGTGTGTGCCCGCGTGCCTGCAGGCCCTTTGCCGAGAAGTACCTCGAAGACCAGGACGCATTCTTTTCGGACTATGTGGAGTCTCACCTGAAGCTGTCGGAGCTGGGGGTGGAGTGGGACGGAGAGCCGGTGACGCTGCCCAAGGCGTGAACGACCAGGCTGCTGCTGGCGTGCCGTTGTCGCAACGCATGAGAGCGCCCCCGCTGCCTGTTCTGCCTGGCCGATCATTGTTTCTCTTGGCCGCCAGCATGCGGCCTCTGCGACCCGCTGACTTATTTTTCTGAAGACTGCTGATTATTGCGCAATCGCCGCACATACTTGTGTTGATAATGTTGGCATGTGAACTCAGCTGAGGGAAGCTGTGCGGAGCAGCATGAAATGTGGGTGGCAGTGCAGATACAACGGCGATCGGGGAGCAAGGGGGATGGAAAAATAGGCCTGGGATAGGGCGGTCCAGGAGGCATGGACACACCGCGCAGGCAAGCATGAGGGAGGATATGATACAGGCGCGGTTCCAATGTGGACAGAGAGCGCAAGGGGGCGGTGCTGGGTCAAAATGGGAGCGCACAAAATTGTGGGCCAGAGCGTGCCCAGATACCAGTGCAGAGACTCTGACTGAGTGGCAGGCGTGGGAGCAGCATGCATAGGGCATGCACACCGACTGCCCGGCGGCCAGCCACACTCAGCTGGCCCAGACGGGCGGCCCGCTGCCGTTGTGTGGGCCCCAGTCGTCGTCCAGCGGCGTGCGCGCCAGCGCCGCCAGGCACGCCTGCCCCGTCGCCCGCTCCAGCTGCTCCGTGCGCTCGGCAGCCAGGAAGTGGTTGCTGGCCCTGTCGGCCAGCGCGATGACGCCCGCGGCGGCGCGGATGCTGCCCCGGCTGCACCGCGCCAGGTCCAGCAGCATGGCCGTCTCCATCTCCAGGGTCACCGCCTCGGGGTAGCAGCACAGCAGGTCTGCCAGCAGCGTCTCGTTGCGGTCCTCAAACCAGCCGGTGCGCCTGCAGGCGCGTGTGCGCGTGTGTGTGTGTGCAGGGCCGGCACAGGGCTTGCCGGCAGCAGCGGCAGGCTGGCGGGCAGGGAGGCAGCTCGCGGCTCACACCTCCCCCCACCCCCGCCGCACCTGCCCTGGCTGCTGTAGAACGAGTCTGCGGTGGCGTTGAGGCCGCGGCACACGCCCTCGGGCCCCAGCAGCCGCACCGCCTCCTGCTCCAGCGCCAGCGACAGCGCGGGGTCGGATGGGATGGGGCGGCTGAAGGTGTACGGCACCAGCCCGCCCTCCTCGCCCTCGGGCGTGAAGGCGTCGGGGTTGCGCCTGCAAGGGGGCAGCACGTGCAGCGTGGCAGGCAGGCAGGCAGGCCAGGTGGTTGGGCACGCCGTGTGTGCAGCTCGGCGACGCAGCTCGGCACAGCGGGGAGCAGGGCTGCGGGCCTGCCTGCAGCCCAACTGCCAGCCCACCTGATCAGGATGGCCCCTGGGTCTGCCACCACAAAGGAACCAAGATGCGCCGGCGGCTGCAGTGCGCCGCACGTGCCCAGCCGCACAATGGCCATCTCTCCCTCCACCACCGCCCTGCACGGCAGCCGGCAGGCACGGCATTCCGGAATCGAGCAGGCACGCCCAGCGGCTCATGTGTGCCATGCCCCAGCTGAGCCCGGCGTGCCCATGCGTCACGCCGCCATCAGCAAACCCCCGGCTGTAATCGTCAGCATCAGCATCAGCGCAGGAGGAGGCTGCGTGCAGGGCAGCAGCGTGCCTGTTCTCGCGCACAACAAAGTCGGCATTAGCCATGCCCATGTGCGTCACGATGATGGACACCGGGGCACCTGTGTAGCGCCCTGCACAACACCCAGGTAGGCAGGCAGGCAGGATGCAGCAGGCAAAGGAAGCTCAAGTCAGCAACCAAGAAAGGCGGCCAGCTGAGTTCAGAGGCCACAACCAAGCAACCAGGATGGGAGCTGCTGCCCGGTGTCCAATACACGCCTTGGCATGGCTGCAAACCGTTGTCCCCCCACGCCCCACGAGCGGCGCACCTGTGATGGTGAGGAAGCCGCGGCTGCTCTCCAGCATGAAGAGGCCGCGCCCGGGCGCCACGGGCTCCAGGTATTCAGCCAGCATGAGCGCCCGCTTCTCGGACCCCACCGACAGGATGCGGTTGGCCACCTCGCCGCGCTTGGTGCCCAGGTGGTAGGTGCGCCCCTCGGCATCCACCGGGAAGTTGGCGTCGCTGATGTTGGACTTCTGGGGCCGCAGCACGGTGCTGCGGCTCGCCGCCCTGCCCGCCGCATCCTGCTCGGCCACCGCGGAGCAGGCTGCAGGGCGAGGTCGTCGCCTGCAACAGGCGAGGCGGTGCAGGCTGACATCGCCAGCTGCTGGTGCAGCAGTGCAGCAGCATTTGCGGTGCGCGCAGCGGGCAGCACAGCAGAGCGCGATGTGCAGCCTGGAGCGGCAGCACCCCCGGCGGCACTGGCGGCGAGGTTGGGTGGTTGGGCCTGGCGGGCCTTGGGTCGCCGCGGCGTTTCGTACCTCTGTGCAAGCCTTCTACATCCCGTTGCCGTCGGGCACAGGCCCGTTGCCGCCGGGCACAGGTGCATCTGTTGCCGTGCGGGGCCTGGCCACTCGCTGCTCCAGCCCGCTGCTCTAAGCCGCATCGAGGGGTCCATGCCAGAGTTGAACAGCTAGCTCAGGACCCTTGCCGCATAGCCTCCGGAGCTAGGGCAGGAGTGGGTAGCCCAAGGGCGTTGACTGACGAGGCCGGCTATCTGCCCAAGCTCTAGGCGTTGAACACGAGACTGACAAAGGCTCAGGAGGGGGAGGGCCCCTCGAAGAAAAATCCCACGTGTCCTCCACCGCCAGGCCGGCCTTCTGCTCTCTGGGTTCCTCTGGCATTTGGGGACGCATGGCAGGTATCGACGCATTATTGATAGCTTCACGACAGTCCCTCACTGCGGAATGGAGCAAGTCGACGAAGATGGCGACCTGATTCTGCAGCGGAGGACCAGGGTAACTCAATGGCGATGATACGGTGTTGATGCAGCACACCTGGCCATTACAACGCTGCCGCCACTGCCGCCCCCCGCAGCAGGGCGAGGACGACGAGCAGCAGCGGCTGCGGCAGCAGGACGCCGAGGTGTTCCTCAGCGAGGTCCACATGGAGTGTCTGCGCCCAGCGGCGGGGCAGGGCACGGCGACCACCTTCATCACTGCAGACGGCGGGGAGCTGGCGCGCATACAGCACGCCATGGCCACACCGCTCAGCCGCGTGGGGCTGCAGGTGTGGCACGGCGCCCTGCTGCTGGCAGACTACATGCTACACGAGGCGGCGGCCTCCACCCTGGCCGGCTGCGTCGCTCTGGAGCTAGGGGCAGGACCCGGGCTGGCCGGGCTGGTGATGGCCAGGCTGGCTCGCTGCGTTTATCTGACAGGTGAGCCTGCTCCCTCTCGGCTGCCTGCCTGCCGTGCGGCCAGCGCTGCCAGGCCGCAACTGCTAGGCCGCCGGAGCACTGCTCATGTGTTGTGCATGCTGTGTTGTGCAAATCCCTTGCGCTCACAGATGTCGGGGCTGACGTGCTAGCCAACTGCCGCAACAACGTCAACCGCCAGCAGCAGCAGCAGCAGCAGCAGCAGCAGGCGGTGCATGTGCGGCAGCTCGACTGGCTGGATCCGCCAGACTGGCTGCTCCCAGCAGGCACCAGCGACACGGCTTCGGCACCGCACAGCCCTGGGTGGGAGCGCTCGGGCGCCAGCAGCTCTGGGTTCAGCTGGCAGCCTGGAGACCTGGCAGAGCTGCAGCAGCTGGATGTGGTGCTGGCTGCAGACTGCATCTACGATGATGTGCTGACGCAGGCATTCATGCGCTGGTGAGAGGAGAGAGGACAGCCACCCTCCCGTCACTCCATGATCAGTCTTGTAGCAGCTGATCGCCTGCTGCTGTGCCAGTCGCTGAGTCGTGGACCAGCCAGCCGGCCTTTGGTGGCTGCTCTCCGTCACCTGCGCCCATTCGCACCCGCCCGCCCCCGCCTTCCCCGCAGCGCGGTGCTGCTCATGCGGTACGCCGCGCGGCACGGCCGCTCGCTGCGCCTCTTGGTAGCCCTGGAGCGCCGCGTCAACTTCACCTTGGCTGACCTGGAGGCACGTGCGCCGTCGTACGACTTCTGGAGGACGCTGTTCAGGGCGACGCAGCGGCCGGGGCAGTGCCCAGCAGCAGCCGGAGCGCCGCTGCCTGCTGCTAGTATAGAGTCGCAGCGGGGCACCCCAGGCGGGCTGGGGCCGGCAGACGCCCAGCCCCCCTTGCCTTTGGTGGGTTGGCGGCTGGATGTGGGCAGCATCCCGCGGGCCATCCAGTACCAGCGCAGCGAGTACCTCGAGCTGTGGGAGCTGGCTTTAAGTGAAGGCACATGATCACATGAGCAAAACGAGCATGGGTGCATGCTGAGGCATGGGCGGTCGGTCAACGGGTGGTCTCAGCCGCAGCGTGCGAGTCGGTCAGTCAACAACAGGTGGCCAGAAACACAGGTGGCTAGAAACAGAGGTGGTGGGGCGCAACACGTGCGCACATGCCTGTGCGCATTTTCAATCCCTCTGGACAGGCAACAGCTGGCGTGCACCTCCACCGCGCGGATGGCGGCGCGGGCCGCCTCACAGCACGTGCTGTGGCAGCGCGTGCTGGCGCAGCGCGGTGCCCGCCGCCGCCGCCGCCGCCGTGGTCTCCAGCAGCGCGCCGCCCAGCGCTGCCGCCTCTGCGTTCACGCCAAACATCTTGGACTGAGTGCCGTCGAATGTCTGGCGCACAGCCGCGATGTGGGCGCTGTTGGACTCTGCAGAGGGGGCGGGGGGCAGGCCGGCACTTAGCAGTGACGGTGGGGTGCCAACATTGCCTGGGTTGAGTGACCAGCCGACTGACGGTAGAGGTGGTGGGCAGCACAGCAGGGTGCAGACCGCTGCCGCCGTCTGGCATGCGGGCGCAGGTCGCAGGTTCCAGCCCGAACTAGCGCACCTTGCTCCGCACGTGCCTCAGCCACCTGCCGGCGCAGCCGCTTCACATACCCCTTGTACTCCTCAAACCGCCCCGCCACCTGCTCCTGCGCCGCCTGCGCTGCCGCGACCTGCCCCGCCAGCCGCGCCTCCAGCCCCGAGAACTGCTGCTGGATGCCCTGCTGCCACACCGTCAGCGCCTGCCGCAGCAGGCCCTCCGCGCTGGCCTGCGCCGCCGCTGCCGCAGCCTGCTCCTCGCCCAGAGCGGCCACCCGCTCCTGCAGCGCCGCCGCCGCCGCCGCGCCTGCCTGCTGCTCGGCCTCGCGGGTGCTCTGCGCCGCCGCCACCTGCTGCTGCGTGGCATCCAGGGCCGCTGCCGCCCGCTCCTGCGCCGCTGCCACGGCCGCCAGCTGCTGCGCCTGCTGCTCCAACTGCTCCGCCTGCGCGGCCTGCCGCTGCCGCGCCTCCTCCAGCTGCTGCTGCGCCACATCCATGTCGGTGCGGAGGTCGACAGCCTCCTGCTGCGCCGCCGCCTGCACCGCACCCAGCTGCTCCCGCACCCGCTGCTGCTCCTGCTCCGCAGCAGCGGCGGCAGCCGCAGCACCCGCCTCCAGCCACGCCTCCAGCTGCTGCTGCAGCCCGTCGGCCCGCTCCTGCAGCCACGTGCGCTGCTCGTCGAGCTGCCGAGTCACCGCCGCTGCCGTCGCCGCCCGCTCCTCCGCCGCCGCCGCCCTGCCGCCGATGGCCTCTTCCAGAGCCGCCTGCAGCACATCAAACTGGTCTGCGATGCGGCCGATCACTTCAGACAGCATGCCCTTGGTGGCCTGCCGCAGCTCCTCCACCGCCGCCGCCGAGTCGGCCGCCGCCGCCTCCGTCGCCGCCGCCAGCGCCGCCAGCTGGCGCTCCGCGTCCGCCTGCCGTGCTTCCACCTGCTGCAGCCGTATCTCCGCCTGGATGCGGCCCTCCTGCGCTCACCAGCACCACAGCCGCACAGACGCGTGTTGGGTGTGGGGCAACAGCATCTCGGCATTGCCTCAGGAAATGGCAGCAGGACTGTGGCACACTGCAACACGCTCCAAAGTTGGCTCTGCTGCTGGCTCGGCAGCACATCAAGTGAAAGCATGGCAGCAGCAATCAGCCGGTAGGCACCCTTGCCTGTGCACAGCCGCACCTCTTGGTCGCGGCTCAGGAGGGCCACCTGCTTGGCCAGCTTATCGATGGAGGCCCGTGCAGCCGTCAGCTCACCATGCACATCCACCCCCTGCAGTGTCAGCCACACAGACTGTGAGGGCGATGCGCAGGCCAGCATTGCAGCATCGTCGGCCAAGAGATGGCGGCCCTGACGGCGGCGGTGTTCCACTCACACGCAGGGGCAACACCGCCTGCAGGTCGCTCTCGAGACCCTTCATTCTCTCATCCAGGTCGGTCACGGAGGTGCCCTGCAACAAGCGCGGCAGGCAGGGCCGACAGCTTTGTTTTGGTGTCCTCGGCCGCCATTCAGCAGCGTTCTGCCAGGCACCCACCTGCTGCCTGATGCTCAGCTGGTGCTCGCCCAGCTGGTTGATGAGCCGGTCCAGGCGAGACAGGCGCAAGGCGTCTGGAGTGCCCATTTGAAAGGCTGCTGATTGATCAATGGACTGTTGCTGCATGCCCAGCAGACGAGCAGGGGGCTCCCTCGGGCTCAACCACGCGAACGAAATTTGGATGGGCAGCACAGCGCAGCGGCCCCAGCGGGAGGCGGGAGCACGCCCTCCTCGCATCCGGAAGTTTGTTTTAGCAGAAGTAACATCTCTGCCAGTGCCCACTCTGTGAATGTGTGGATCCTTATCACTTTGCTTCATTTACATGGAAATTGGGGAAGGCATTGGCAAAGAATTCGTGTGTTCTCGGAAAACTGGCGGCAAAACCAAGTGCTGATCAGTTCGATGGATGGACAGGCGGCGATCGCGGATCAAAAGGCGATAGGGCGGAGCAATGCGGAAAGAGTAAGCTACGCCCCAACGAGCAGGAAGCGGACAGAGGGAAGGGGGAGCAGAAATGTAGGTGGAGCTCACAAGGAACACGGGTGGCACAAGACGTGCTGGTGAGACAAAAGAGTGCGTAGGTGCCACCTGTTGCAACCTTGTGGCTGGCCATTTGGCCCGGCAGTGGTCATCAGGCGGCCGATGCCGCCACGTCGCGCCGCTGCAGCCGCCAGCCTAGCAGGCCCGCTGGCCGCCGCGACGTCTGCGAGTTCTTGGGCCGCCAGCGGCAGGGCGGGCACTCGGCTGCGGCCGCAAAGCCCACGACGCGGGCAGATGCGCCGCTGCCCCGCATTGCCTGGCTGGCAGCCAGCACGCTGCTGGGCGACTCGCCGAGCACGCCAGCATCGCTGCCACAGGGGGAGGCGCCGCAGGAGGATGCCGGCGAGGCGGGAGCCTGCTGCTGCAGCAGCCCCAGCCGCGCCAGGCGCAGCTGCACGCCCTCCAGCTGCTGCCGGTCGCGCTGCTGCTTGCGCGCCGCGGCCGCCGCGGCCACCTGCGGCGCTGCTGCACGGGGTGCGCCTGCTGCTGTCGCTGCCGCCTCCTTGGCTGCTTGTGGGGCCACGCCTCCAATGGGGTGTACTGGCACCGAGCTGACGGCATCATACTTGGTTGCATACGCATCCACGCGGCGCCAGGGCGGCAGCGGGATGCCCTGCTCCTCGAAGCAGCGCGCCAGCTCGGCGCCCAGCAGCAGCAGCGCGCGCACCAGGCGCGGCAGCGGCGCCACCAGCACCGGCGGCACCGCGCCCAGGATGCGTGCATAGCGCGGGGTGGGGCAGGCGACGGCAAAGGCCGAGGCAAAGCTGGGGTCGATGATCCACTCGGCGGGCTCGCCTGCGGGTGCACAAAGGGCAGCTCGTGAGCTCATGCGGTACGAGAAGGGTTGGGAGCAGCGGCAGTACTGCCAGGTGCAGTGGTCATGGCATGGCGTGTGCGAGGTGCGCTCACCGCTGGCCGTGTTGCGCGCAGCGGTGATGTAGGTGTGCTTCAGCTGGTAGATGCTGCCGCCGGCCGAGGTGTGCAGCCGCACAGTGTAGCCCAGGCGGGCCAGCATCTGTGCGGTGGCCTCCAAGCTGCTGCTGCTGGCCTGTGCTGCCATTACCACCGCAGAGCAGACCTGGAGCAGGCGTGGGAGCGATGCAGGCGACTGGCTGGGACAAAAACGCGGCGGCTGCTGGAGGTGTGGGGATGTGACCGCACACGACGGCGAGCAAGGGCGCTTGCCGCTCCGCCAAAGACCAAAGGTAGCCAAACACCAGGGGAGCCATCCAGGCATCAAACCCCATGCTGCTTGGTCCCAGCAGCCAGCGGGCACCAGCAGCAGCTGCTGGGGCTTGCAGCAGCCGACTCACCGGGTGGTCCTCGCCGCTCGGGCGCAGGAGGGCCGCCACCGCCGCCGCCGTGGGGCTGGTCGACTCAACCGCAGGAGCTGCGGGCGGCTGCTGTGCAGCATGCTCTTGCCGGTCCTCGTCCAGAGCAAACAGGGCTGGGGGAAGGGGGAAGGGGCCTTCCCGCCGGGACTCGAACGCGCAAGAGGTGCGGGGCCCAAATGCGGCCGCCGGAGGCCCCGCCGCACCCTCCACTAGGGGCCGATGGAGGATCACGCGGACCATAGCCGCTGCGCAAGGCCGGAAACCACTGGTTGGAGCGTTTGTAGCGGAAGGATGCTCGGGGGAGATGGCAGGCTGGTGCAAGGGGCAGGGAAGTGGGCTTGGGCTTGCAGAGCGTGTGTGTGGTGCGAAAGAGTGGAGAGCTTTTGGGTGGGTGGTTGAACACTCTGGAGAGTCGAATTCGAGTCACGTTTTCTGGTCAACTGCCGGCCCGCTGCCAGAGCCACAACGAAAGGTCCTCTTTCTGACCTGTACCGTAGGGCAAATTCGCCACGGCTGGCCGTTCTGTTACGTTTCGCTGAACCACGGCGCCAGCGCAAGTGCCTGAGCACCAGGGGACCTGGCCACCCTGTTGCCGCCAGGCGGGTCGAAGAGACACATGAGAGCCCAGCGGCGCCACCAACAGGGGGGTCATGGGGGTTCATTGCCATGCCCAGGGGCAAGTTGTGCGACCATGGATTCACGCTAACATGGACAGGCCGGATGTTCTACCTGTCCAGGAAAGGGACAGGGCATGGCGGGGGCGGGATGGCAGCGGGCGGCAGCTGCGGGGGAGAGGAGTCACTTTGGCTAGCCTGTCGCATGCGACGAAGGTCTGTGCCCGCTGAGGCAGCGTTTGTGCTCGGTGGCACCAGCCGCCAGCTTGGTTGCGGGCGCAATGCCTGCTCAGCTGCGGTGGTGCTGTCGAGCAGGCCCAGCCTAAACTATGCCCCCCCTTGGTGGCGATGCTGGCAGCAGTGAGCGGGTACGACTCGATTACAGGGAGGCAGGCAATGCCAAAAAGTGGTGACGTTCCCTAATCGATGGAATAGTCTGTTAAGGAGATTCCCAAAACAAATCGGTAAATGAAATGCGAGCCGGTAGAGAGAGGCGGAATGCGATCAAGCAAGGGAAGTGTTCGCTAACTGGGCAGATGGACACTAGCATGCACTCCTCACAATCAGGCACTGGGATGGCGGCATCTTTCAGGCACCAATCCAGTGCAGCAGCAGCGGCCCCTCCACTGGAGGCACAATCAAAACGGCAGATGACGTTATGGCGCATCAGGCCACAGGCGCAGGGCCAAAGCCAGCACCCGGCCAGCCAATCTGGCTGAACCGGGGGCGGGTACTGGCGGCGGCATCATGCAGCTGACGCTGCTGCACCGCAGTGCTGCAACCGGCAGCCAAGCAGGCTCTGCTGCCCCCCGTGCCGCTGGTGCGGCTGCTGCTGCCGCCACGCCGGCCGAAATCGAGTTGGCCGCCAGCCACAACAAACGCACTCGGGGGCTTTGGCCTCGAAGCCCACAACGCGCTGGGAGGCGCTGCCCTGGTCAGCAGCCTGCGCAGGGAGGGAAAAGGAACGGCTGGGCATGAGCAGACTGCTGGTGCAGCAGGACCAGCCGTCGAAAGAGGTCCCCTCCATGCTCACAACAGGGCGCTGCCTGCCACGGTGCGGTGCACAGGGCACCTGTCTTTCTAGCAGGGCAGGGCAGGAAGCCAGGGAGCACGGGGCGCCTCACCTCCAGCACGCTGCGCGGCGAGTCCACAGCCCCCTTGTCGGCGCCGGTGGTGGGTGTGCCGCCAGAGGATGGTGAGGTGGAGGGTGGCAGCGGGGCAGGCAGGTCGGACACCACGCCCAGCCGCGCCAGGCGCACATGCACACGCTCCAGCTGCTGCCGGTCGCGCTGCTGCTTGCGCGCCGCGGCCGCCGCTGCCACCTGCGGCGCTGCCGGGCCGGGGCCGCCTGCTGCTGCTGCCGCTGATGCCTCGCCACTGCCGTGCACCACCACCGAGCTGACTGCATCATACTTGGTTGTGATGGCGTCCGCGTGGCGCCAGGGGGGCAGCGGGATGCCCTGCTTCTCGAAGCAGCGCGCCAGCTCGGCGCCCAGCAGCAGCAGCGCGCGCACCAGGCGCGGCAGCGGCGCCACCAGCACCGGCGGCACCGCTTCCAGGATGTGTGCGAAGCGGGGGGTGGGGCAGGCGACGGCAAAGGCCGAGGCAAAGCTGGGGTCGATGATCCACTCGGCGGGCTCGCCTGCGGGGCCGCAAGGACAGAGTGAACCAAAGGTTGGCCAGGCAACTGACTTGTTGCTTGGGCAGGAAGGCCACTATTGCTCTCACCGTTGATGAAGGTGTTGCGGGTGGCTGTGAGGAAGGTGTGCTTCAGGCTGCGGAGGGTGCCCCCTGCGGAGCTGCTGAGCTTGACGGTGTAGCCCAGGCGGGCCAGCACCTGGGCGGTGGCATCCAGGCTGCCGCCGCCGGCCTGCGTGGCCATCATCACCGCAGAGTAGAGCTGCAGGCAGGCAGGAGGCTGGATTGGTTGGTGGGTTGGTTGGCTGGTGCAACCGTGGCACGGCAGAGGCGGAGCAGGGGGGCGCACGCACCGACTGGTCGTCTGCGCCGGGCTGCAGCAAGCGTGCCACCGTCTGCCTGGTGCGTGCGGCGCTCTCTGAGACGGGGTCGGTCACTGCGGCCTCCTCCAGCTCAAAGCCCTCCAGGTGGAAGAGCATGGGGGCGCCAGTGACGGCAGACTGGGACTCGGCGGGCGCTTGGCTGGCACTATGCCTCCCGAACGCGGGGCGTGGCGGCGGGCCCATCAGCACCCCCTCGTCGATCAGCGGGGGAACGAGGATCACCCTGGCCATAGTCGACGCTCTGTGGGAGATGTTGGAGGCGGGCGGTGTCGGCGGGGTGCTTGCAAGGGAACAGGAAGTGGCAGCGCCAAAGACACAGCTGAACAGAACAAGATGGTGATGAAACGAATGACTCACACGCGTCAAATGCTGTCGGCGTGTGCGGTGAGCCTGCCATCAACGTGTGCAGGCAGGCTGTACCAGCACCGGCGCACACCGTTGACCTTGGCCCACCTGCATCTGGATCGACACGCATTGCTGCTGATCACGCGGCAGTGCTTCGTTTTGGCGGAGGGAGATTTTTCCTTGTGCCACGTGGACACCCTGAAGCCCCTCTTCAAAGCCTGATGACCGCAAACACTGGATCCAACGGCCTCATATCGAGTACAATTGGCAACCCAGGTTTTCCCCGAGACATCTGCGCACCGCTCATGTCTCTTGCCGCCAGGAAGCAGCTTGTGGCTGTGGCGGAGCACCTGATAGATGTCACTCGACGCGGCATGGCCAGCGGCGGGCGCCCGAGACCAGCACCAGCCCGCCGCCCCGCTCCGCCGCCTGCCGCCCCCGCTGCCGCCCAGCCGCCGCTGCCACCAGTGCCAGTGGGACAAGAGTGGACCGAGGTGGTGCACCAGCAGACAGGGTGGGTTGGGCTCTTGAAACGGGTGGCAGGTGTATTGCAGACCCACCCCATCGTCTGGTTTGCCGCTTCTGCCGACTTGGCCACGGCCTGCACATGTGGCTGGCCTTGCAGCTCCACATACTACTGGAACACGCGGACGGGCGAGACGACAGCGTTGGGAGAGCCACGGCCGGGACCGGAGGGGCGCCTGGCCCATGTGCGCTCCACGGCGCAGCAGCGAGCGCGAGTAGCAGTGGGGGGCCTGGGCCAGTTGGTGGCCATGGGTGCTGGAGTGGGCCTGGTGTTTGCCCTCCTGTCGCGAGTGTTTTGACAACAACAAAGTTGTGCGTTCTGATTCTAATAGGGAGCATTTGTAGGGCGAGATGAACAAAGCTGAGCAGCAAGCACACCTGGAAAAGCAGTTCAACAAGCACAAGAGCGGCAGAATATGGCCAAGAATATGGAAGCTGGGAACTGGGTAGCGGTTGGCATTGTCAGTGGTGGTAGGGCTCCCCACGCAGGATGGTCCACGCTCGATACAGCTGCTCCAGGAGCACCACGTGCGCCACCTGGTGGTTGAGCACCATCTTTGACAGCCGGATGGTGTCGTTGCCGCGGGCCCGCACTGCGGGTGCGTGGCCATAGGGGCCTCCTATGCAGAACACCACCAAAGGCCAGCTCTGGTCAGAGGCCTGCGCCGAGGGGCATCAAAAGCAGTCCAGCACTCTGCGAATTGTCGCCCCTACCGCACAACCATTAAGCAGGCAGCCCAGGCCAGCGCAGCAACCAAGCTGGGATGGGTGCAGTTTGGGGTCCCCTGAGCCATGGCCTTTCCCATGCCAGGTGCGCAAGCTCCTCTGCTTGCCAGGCTGGCCCCTGCGGCTGCGCCCATCCCACCTGTGCCAGCAGCCGCGCCAGGTCTTCACTGGAAATGTCTCTGCGCAGGCATGAACAGGCACGGCGCCCCTCAAAAGGCCGGCTGCTCGCAGTCCCCTCTGCTCCTCGCAACTGCCGAGCAGCAACGGCCGACAGTTGGCTGCAACGCAGTCTGCTCAATTGAGCAGCCGTCCCCACCTGCCCCGCTCATCCAACAGCACCACGCGGTCCGAGGGCTGCAACACCTTCAGCACCCGCTCCCCCTCGTGCCGAACCGCCACCGCCGTCTCTTTGGCATTCTTAGGGTTGGGCTTGACCTGCAAGCGGGCCAGGTGTGCGCGACAAGTCGATCCTGTTCTGCCCACAAACATGCAGCAGCCTGCCTACCTGTATCTGCGAAAGGCTGGTGTACCTACAGCAAGCGGAGGCCAGGCAGGCGGGTCAGCGTATTCACAGTGACACCAGGTGAGCCGACTGGAGCAACTGTGACTGTGTTAGACCGCAGGTAGCACCCACCGCTTCAGCTTGTCTGCCCACTCTAGCGCCATCAGCTCTGCCCCCTTGCTGGACCCCTTGGCCACCGTCACGACGGTGATGGGGATGGGCCGCAGCGACCGTGCCAGCGACTGCGACTGCGGCGCCGTATGCCCCGCTGATGCGGAAATGTTCAGGCCACGGCTGCTGGCAGCCCTGCAGCATGGCATAGGTGTGCTGCAAAGGACGTTTCGCGAGGGGCGGGGCAAGGGTCGGCGCGGCTGCACCACCCGCCGCCGCCGGTTGCCGCAGCATTGGCCTGGTGACGGTTCTCTGCTGCCCGCCCCTCCGTTGAGTGCCTGAAATGGCCTCAACAATCTGCATTTGTGGGGAGAGCACTCTTGCCTGGCACGGAAACACTTGACCACATGCAGCCTCGCAAGGGTTGCAGCTGACTGCATCCCCTGTGACCCCAGAGGCGATGCAGAGGCCCTGCACCAACTGGGATGGAGCAGCATTGCCCAGCGGCAACAAACTCCGCCACGGTGGCCGACCTTCCCCCCTGAGAGCTCTCCTCTTTCGGACCGCCCACCGGCGGCGATCACCAATTTCCTTTCAACAGTTTGCACGCTCAAGCGGCCGCGGCGACTGCGCAACAGTGTTGTTGGGGTCGCGGCCTTGTTTGCTGGGACTGGGGCCCGTTCGGGGCTCGGGGGCAGCATGCTGGAGACCGTATTTGCGGCCGTCATCCTGCTCAACGTGCTGGCGGCCGGATGCTGTGAGTCGCGCTGACACCAGGCGCTCGTTTGCAGGCACTGGAGCTGGGGCGGTGCCGTGGCATGCTTGCGGGCCGGAAACGGCCCGGGCGGGGTCGGCAGTGTCTGACTGAAGGGTGCCGCCCTCGCCCGGAAGCGCCGCCCGGACGAGCGCCTACCCCCGTCTCGTACCAGCTCCCTGGGCAAGCTGAGGGTTGCAGCACGAGTGCCGCGTGCATGCTGCCACGGGATCCAGCTCCTCACGGTCGATCTCCACGGTCGCGCCGCCCCTGCCGCAGGCGTGGAGGTCGTGCGCAAGCTGGCCAAGCAGCTGTCGCCGCTGCGGGCGATGTATCGCAGCTTCAGAGCACGATGCCCCTACACGGCGGAGACCTTGGAGCGCTTTGTAGAGGCGAGCATGGAGACGGGCTGCGCGGCGGCAGCCACCTGTCCCTGCTACCTCTTCGTCTCCCCGCCCTGCCCCCATGTCGCCGCTGCCGCTTGCTCCACAGCCGGCGCCCACGCTACCCTCCGCCTCCCTCGCCCCGCCACCCCGCTGCAGATCTGGGACATGTTTGTGCACTGCTCGGATGCCTCGCTGGGCTTTGAGGACCGCTTTGCCATCTTCTGCGACCAGCTGGGCGACTTTCTGGAGGGGCTGGTGCAGCGCGCGGTCGATGTGCTGGAGCTCTTCTTCCAGATGGACGCAGAGGACCAGCAGGTGCGCCCTGGCCCGGCATGGCACCGGCCTGCCCTGCAGCAGCTTGCTCGCGCTGCGTGGTCACCAATCTGCGGATGCTTTGGTCTGCTGCCTCCATCCGCTGGCTTGCCGGCCCCAGCAAGGCCCCCGCTCTTGCTCCTGCTGCCCCACGCAGGCGGCGCTGTGCCGCATCCCGCGCCGCCGCCTGACGCCAGCCGAGGCGGCGGAGGGCGCGGGCCCGCTGCGCATCGGCGCCTGCGCCATCTGCCTCTGCGAGTGGAGCAAGGGGGACGATGTGCGGGAGCTGAGCGCCTGCAGCCATGTGTTCCACGTCAAGTGCGCCGACACCTGGCTGTGGCGGCACCAAAAGTGTCCCATGTGCCGCACGCCGCTGGCCGGAGAAGGAGGAGGCGCGGGCCACCTGCACTGGCGCTGAGCTGCACCCGACCCTTGTTGTTCCACCATGGGGCAAATAAGGGCGGCCCGGGTGTGCTACACCAAATTTCCAGCCTTGACGGCCCCCACCCACCCCACCCAAGACAGCTTGGCCACTCTGGCGTTCCTGCTGCATCATAAATCATAATCACCTTGCACGTGCCTCCTGTACCCGCTTGACCTCCCACCAGGCGATGCGTTTTACTCACCAACAAATGCCCAATGAACGCTGCCGCTGCCAATCTGCTTGTGCGCTTTTGCTGTTGTCTGCCCGGTGCCGCTCTTCCTCTGTCCAGTATGCTCCGTCTGCTCATGCTGCCAATTTTCATGCCGGCTGCCTTGTACCCCCTCATCACTTCAACTTCATTGCATTGGATGCCCCAATCTCAGTAGCTGTAATGCACGCCTCCTCGCATCGGCCGTTGGTGGCGGTGCACAGCGGCAGCGCAGCGGGCCAGTACCAAAGATTTAGTTGCACACAAAACTCCACAGTCTGTGGCTCCCTCCGCGCCCTGCTACACGTCTGCGGGCACCGATCAACGTTGCCATGCTGCTCCAGGCCCTGGAGGTGCTGCAGTCTTCCCTGCAGACGCTGCAGAGCCACCCGGCCGGCCTGCTGATCAATGGGCTGGCCCTGGCGCTGCTGGCTGTGACAGCCCTTCAAGCTGTGGCGGCGGTGATCGGCTTCGTCTACGCCTACTTCCTGCGCCCCGGACGCAACCTGAAGTTCTACGGCCCTTGGGCAGTAGTCACTGGCAGCACCGATGGCATCGGCAAGGCCTACTGCGAGGAGCTGGCCAAGAAGGGTGCGGCGCGCGGCGGCGCCGGGTGGCAGGTGGTGCCGCCGCTGTGTGCGTTGCGCCGCGATGCCCGGCCCTGTCCCCGCACCCCACGCCTGCCTGTGGGCGCCCTGTTGCCGCAGGCCTCAACCTGGTGCTTATCTCTCGCACCGAGTCGAAGCTGAAGGAGGTGGCGGCGGAGCTGTCCGGCAAGTTCGGCGTCGAGGCGCGGTACGTGGCGGCAGACCTGTGCAAGGCGGGGCCCGACACCTTTGCCAAGATCGGCGCCGCGCTGGAGGGCCTGGAGGTGGGCGGCCGGGCCGGGAGGCGAGCCGGTCAGGCGCGGGCGGCGGGGCGCCCGCAGCGCCAGCCCCAGCCGCCGCCGCCGCCGCGCCCGCCGAACCCATACGTGCCCGGCCGACTGCCGCAACTCCCCGCCGCCCACTCCCCCCCACACACGCCCAGGTGGGCTTGCTGGTGAACAATGCGGGCATGTCTTACGACCACTCCGAGTACCTGGATGAGATGGATGCGGGGGTGGTGCCAGACATGGTGACCATCAACGCGCTGGTGCCGACCATGGTGAGCACATGCCACAGCACAGCACAGCACAGCACAGCACAGCGAGCTGGCTGCTCGGGCAGAGCCCCGGCCGGCCGGGCTGCGGGGCTGCTACGGATGCGCGGGGTGGCGGCGGGGCGTGCGTGGGTGTGCCTGACACTGGTGGTGGGCGGCGGCGGCTTGCCGTGGTGGCATCTGAGCGCTGGAGCCTTCTATCGACGGCTGCCTACCCGCACACCCGCCCACACTCTCAGACCCCCTCCCTGTGCCCCCCCCCTCTGCTTGGTTCAGCTGTGCCACATGGTGGTGAAGGGCATGCGGGAGCGCGGGCGAGGCGCCATCGTCAACGTCGGCAGCGGCGTGTCCACAGTCATGCCCCAGGCGCCGCTGCTGGCAGGTGTGCGTGCCGCGCGCGTGCGTGTGCGTGCGTGTGCGTGCGTGTGTGTGTTGGTGCATAGTGTTGTTTCTGGGCGTGGAGGTGGAGCGCCGCTGCCGGAGGCGGCGGTGTCGATGCCCCGGCTGCGTGCCCTCTCCCAACACTATCTCCCGCACTGCCTTCCGGTCCGCTCTGCTCTGGTCCCGCCTCCTCCCCTGCCGCCTCCTCCCCCTGGCCTCCTCCCCTGCCCCCGGCTGCCCCTGGCCTCCTCCCGTGCCGCCTCCTGCCCCTGGACCCACCCCTGCCACCCCTGCCCCCCTGCCCCCTCCCTCCTACTCCAGTGTACGGCGCCACCAAGGCATACGTGGACAGCCTGTCCCGGTCGCTGGATGCCGAGTACAGCCCCATGGGGGTGAGGGTGCAGAACCAGGCGCCCATGTACGTGGCAACCAAGATGTCCAAGATCAAGTGAGCCGGGTGGTGGTGGTGGTGGGGTGGCGTGGGGCGGCTGTGTGTGGAGGATACCGTGTTGGTATATTGGTGATGCTTGTGCACGCGCGTGTGTGTGTGTGTTGTGTCGGAGGTTTGACCAACTGCCAGAATGGGCCGCCCGGGCGGGAGCGCCGGCATCGAGCAAGTGACGGCGTGCTGCGCCGCTGGCGCGCTGAGCCGAGCACGCACCCGCGTGCCCGCCCCTGGGCCCGCAGGCGCGCCCGCCTGGATGCGCCCATGCCCGCCACCTGGGCCGCCGCCGCGGTGAAGCAGATTGGGCGGGAGACGAGCTTCACGCCCTACTGGTTCCACGGCTTGCAGGTGCAGGGTGCAGCGCCCGCCCGCGCAGGCACCCCCATGCTCCGAGCGCGCCGTGGCGGCAGACCTTGCCTGCCCCCGCGCCGTTTTCTGTTGCCTGCACACCCCTCGCCCTCCGCAGCTGCCTTCCCTGCCCCCTGTGTCTCCATCCCCTGGCCTGCGCCCGCTGTGCTGAGCTGCTCAGGCTGCCCCGCCCACCCCCACACCCCCACACGCAGTCCCTCTTCGTCAAGCTGGCCCCCACCTCCCTCATCAACACCATGGTGATGAACATGCAGCAGGACCTGCGCGCCCGCTACCACCGCCGCCTGGCGCGCCAGCAGGCCGAGGCGGCGGCGGCGGCGCTGGGCGACGAGCCGCCGCCCAGCGAGAGCAAGCGGGAGCTGCGCCGCCGCAAGTGAGCGCCGCGGCGCGGCGCGGCGCGGCGGCTGCGCTGCTTCTGCTGGCGCCAGAGAGCGCGGCGCGGGCCACGGGCATCGCCCCGCTTGCTTGGCGAGCCTGGTGTGGGGTCTCCCTGGTTGTCGAGTCGGTCCCATGGGCCCTGGTGTATCGGCTGCGCTGTTCACCAGCCAGCGCTCTCCAATCAAGCCATGCTCCTATCAGCTCGAGCTGCGAATTCGTTCATAAACTCCTAGCGTGCGATAATACGCCCTCAATGGCAGCGCAGGAAAAACCATATGTGCATTTGTCTGGCTGTCTGTGCATGGCAGGCGCCGCCATACTGTGTGCGCTATGGTCGCCTGGCAATGCTTGCTTGCTGTCGCAAGTCTGTCCTGTAAACACTGCCTGCCATTGTGGCTCAGGAAGCGGTCCAGGCCTGGCGACAGCGTGCAGCCTGCAGCCGCACCCCGCGGCGGTTGTCGTCCACCGCTGCCGCCAGGCTGGCGGCCACGGCGCGGCGGTAGGGGTGCAGGCAGGTGTAGGGCAGGTCCACCAGTACCAGCAGGCACTGCAGCGCGGTCTCCCGTACTGCAGGTACCGGGCGGTACGCCGTCAGCTCCAGCAGGGCCGGCACAAGGCGTGGAAGCAGTTCCGCCTCCGCCTGCTGCTTGCCTGGGGCATAACATAGCACAGCAAGCGACACAAGGATGAGCGGGGCGTGAGGTTGGGAGTCGGCCACCAGCCACACACACATGCGCCATGCAGGCATGCACCACCGACGCGCGTGTGCTGGGCTGCCTTTGTTCGGGCCTCACCTGCGCTGCTCATGAGCGCATCGCTGACCAGCAGCAGCAGCGAGAGCAGCAGCTCGCCGTCCGCCAGCGGGCCCCGCTGCAGCGCGGCCAGGCACTGCAGCATCCAGGGCAGCATGCGGCGCTGTTCCTGCTGCAGCACGCCGCTGGGCGCCGTGCACAGCAGGCAGGCCAGCGCCAGCAGCAGCACAGGGGAGGCCAGCAGCGGGGCCGCGCCCTCGCCGCCCGCCGCCGCCGCCTGGCGCGCCGCGCTGGCGCCCCGCAGGCTGCCCTCGAGCAGGGGCAGCAGCCGGGCGGCCGCGGCAGTGTACAGGCGCTGCTGCCACAGCGGCTTGCAGACCGCATGCGACTGCTTGGACAGGCCCGCACCCGCAGCGCCGCCATCCAGCGCCGCCTCAAGGAAGTGTGCGGCAGCCTGGGCCCCCGCTGCAAGCTGCTGCAGGGCAGCCGCTGCCTCGCTGCCCGCTGCCTCGAGGGGCCCTCCGCCCTCTGCCTGGACCGCCTGCCAGCGCTGCGCCGCTGCATCCAGAGCAGCGATCGCCCTGCCCACAGCCGCATCCGCCTCGCGAGAGCCTCGCATGGCCAGCCCCCGGCCCACCGCCGCCAAGTAGCGCCAGGACGAGGGTGCGGGCGCCGGCAGGCAGGCGGCGCCGCCAGCATCGCTGCCGCCGCCCGCTGACAGGCCGCAGGCTGGGTACAGCTGCCGCTGCAGCACGGCAGAGGAGCAGGCCGCCGCGCTGTCGCTGTCTGCAGCACAGGCCACGGAAACAAGGAGCCAGCGTGAGGGCGGACACAACGTAGGGTTATGGAGAGAGGAGGACAGGCAGAGATGAGTGGCACGTGGCACACATGGCAGCCCAGCCAGTGCCTCCCCCTGGCTGGATGACCCCAGGCGCACCTGCCGGGTCCCATTTGTTCAGCAGGGCGGCCGCCGCCAGGGCCGCCCAGTGCCCCGCTGGGCTGCCGTCCGGCTGCGCCTGCGCCAGCTGCACCAGCCGCTGCACAAGCGGCGCCGCCGGCTGCTGGCCAGCCAGCCCCCGCACAGCCTCCTGCCTCAACGGCACCAGCAGGGCACAGCACACCGTGGCCTGCAGGCCGCCTGGCGCTGCCAGGTGCGCGTGGCCCCGCTGCATGACGGCCGCCGCGGCGGCCGCCGCCAGCGGCTGCTGCTGCTCAGCGGCGGCGCCGCGCATCGCATGGTATGCCAGCTCGCCGCACGCCGCCTGCACCTCGGCGCCCACCGCCGCTGCTGCTTGCGCGGGAAGCAGCTGGGCGGCATCCAACAGGTGCTGGCCCAGCTGCAGGAAGCACGCCGCCGCCGCTGGCTCCGCCGCGCCGCCGTGGGCCGGCGGCGCCGACGCGATGCCTGCAGCCGCCCGCAGCAGCTGCTGCATCAGCTGGGCGGCGCTGCCTGCGGGGTCCCCTGCCGCTGCCGGCAGCTGCTGCTGGAGGGCTTGATCCAGGGCCACCACAATGTCCAGCTGGAGGCCGCTGGAGGCGGCAGCCAGGGCCTGCAGCGCCGCCAGCGCCGCCGCCGCCGTCTGCGGCCGCCCCGCGGCCGCCACCAGCCGCGGCAGCGCCGCGTCCGACAGCGCCGCGGCGTGGGCGCTGCGCGCCAGGGCGGCCAGCGGGGCCACGGCTGCTGCCTGCTGGGCCGAGGTGGAGGCAGAGGCGCACGGTGCGGAGAGCAGGTGCAGGACGGAAGCCACTGCTGCCTCCACGTCCTGCCCGGGGAGTGCCGCCGCCTGGCGAGGGTCGCCAAACAGCGCCGCCAGCGCCGCCAGCTGCAGGGTGGCCGCCCGCTGCTGGGTGCAGTCGCCAGGCAGCAGCGGCCAGGAGGCCGCCTGGGGCTGCCGTTGGGCGCTGGGCCCCGGCGCCGCCTCCTCCGCCTCCTCCCCCTCAGCACCCACGGCAGGCGCCAGCGCAGCAGCAGCCGCTTCTAGCGCAGAGGCAGCCGCAGCAACAACCTGGCGCGCCAGCTCGCCATCCACGCCTGCTGGCGGCGCGGACGGCGGCGCCTCTGCTGCCGCTGCCAGCATGCCCAGCACGGCGCACCAGGCCAGGCACTGGGCCTGCCAGCCGCCGCTGCTGCCCTCTGCCGGCCGTGCAGCCGCCAGCGCCAGCAGCGGAGGCAGCAGCTGGCCCAGCGCCTGGGCGGCCGTGGCGCCGCCAGCGCGGCACAGCGCCTCGGCCACCCGCGCCCCCGCCTGCGCCCGCAGCACACTGCGGCGATGCACGGCTGCATCGGAGCCGGGCGACTGGATGCACGCCATCATGTCTTGCAGGCTCGAGTCCTGAAGCACGGCATCCGCCAGCCTGGCGCCAGCTGGCACCTCCTCCTCGCCACCACGGCCGCCGCCGCCGCCGCCGCCGCTCTGGAAAGCAGCCACACACCGCGCCAGGCACGTGGCTGCCGCCGCGGCCAGCTCGGCAGCCGCCGGCACGTCGGCAGGCAGCAGGCCCTCGCCAGCTGGCGCCAGCAGCTCGGGGCGCAGCGCAGACCACAGCGTGCTGACGTGGCCGGCCAGCGGGGCGGGGCCGTAGCCCTCTGCGCACGCGCCCAGCAGCGACAGAGAGTCCAGCTTGGCCTGCCTGCACAGGGAACGGGCGGGCCAGGGCACAGCGGCGCCGTCTATGGCAGTCCGCAGCCGCGCCAGCTGCAAGGAGGGTACTGGCCGTGGCTGGCTTCTCCATGCCGTGTCCCTGCCTGCCGGGCCTCCCTCCTCGGCTTGCCGCACCTGAGTGTGGAGCTCAGCTTCTCGCAGGCCAGAGGCACCAGGTAAGGCGCAAACAGCGGCTCCGCCACCAGCGCCGCCTCCAGCCCAGCTGCCAGGTCCTCCCGGCTGATCCTGCGGCAAGAAAAGGGCAGGCAGGGATGGTGGCAGGCCGGCCAGGCAGGCAGGGGGCAGCAGGACGGCACAGAGGCGGGCAGCGTGCCAGCGGCGGGCACGGCCCGACGGCGGCCAGCGGGCTGCCGCGCAGGCGGCGCCTGCGATTCTGTGGCGCCTCCCAGCACCGCCCAACGAGGCAGCGCGGGCAAGAGCAAGCCACCTGTTGGGGTCATTGGGCGGGGGGGTGAATGTGACGGGGAAGTAGCAGGCCAAAACCTCAAAGAGCTCCTCGGCGCCCTCCTGCACACAGGGTGGAAAGCATGGATGCCTGGGTGCATGTAACATGCGTTTACACAAGTAGATGCGATGTAGAGCTCAGTGTTGGTGCTTGGCGTCCCCCACAGCAAGGCGCGGCAGGGCATGTGTGTTGCAGCCTGGTGGCCAATTGCTGAGTAAGACCACACGTGCCTGCTCCCCGCACATGACTGCCCTCCCACGTGACTGCCCCTCACCTCCAGCCGCTCGTGGCACAGGCTGGTGTCCGGCTGCCGGTGGTAGAGCGCCAGCAGGCACCGCACCGCCTCGAAGCACAGCAGCAGGCAGCGCGGGTCCTTCTCGCCATCCACTGCACGCGGGACCGCCGGTGCTAGCCACCCCCTCATATGCAGACACCACGTCGCGTGCAAGCTGGCTGTGCTCGCCCGGCTTCTTGCTGCCTTCCCGCCCTGCCCCCTCCTCCTCTATCCCTCCCAACGCTGCCGCCTTGCTGCTCCCCTACCACCTCATGCCGCACACCGCTCCACACCTCCACCCACCTGAGCTGACCAGGTACTCGAAAAGGTCCAGGCCGGCGTCCAGCAGCGCAGCGCCATACCCGCGCATCGCCGCCGTCACCAGGCGCAGCGCCACCGTGCGGTCCTGCTGCGCCAGCGCTCGGATGAACACATGCGACACGCAGGCCCGCATCATCTCCACCGCCGCCGCCTCCTCCACCTCTGCCAGGGCGGGCCTCGCGGGCGCCGCGCTGCCGCGCCGCGACAGCAGCGCCAGGCATCCCTTGAGCGCGCCACGCACGGCCGGCCTGCACAGGCGCCAGCCCGAGGGAGAGCCCTGAGCCGTCATGCCTCGTGGGCCGCCCTGCAGGAGGTGCCCAGCAGCCGCAGCGAGCTTCCGCCTCCACGGCTGTGCTGCTCACCAGTCTGTGAGCCGTGAGGTGAAGAACTGGGACAGGTGGACGACGTCGCCCTCGCCCGCGGCGGCAGCCGGCACAGCCGCCACCACCTGCACCGGCAGCCCAGGAGCGGCGCAAGGGGGTGGGAGGGCCGGGCCGCCGATCCGGCGGCGGCGGCGACTGCCCATCAATCTTAGAGGGTGGCCCAGGGACCAAGCCCCAAGTGTGCGGCCGCCGTGCTCACCTCTGCCAGCACGCTGGTGGCTCGGGCACGCTGCGGGTCGTCATCAGTTGTGAGGAAAGGGCCGAGGGCCTCCACCAGCCGCAGGATCGGGGTGCCCGCCTGCCGCAGCTGCCCAGCCAGCTGCTGCGTCTTCTCGGCGTGGTCGCGCTCCGGAAGCTCAGTGGCGACCAGCTCGTGCAGCAGCGGCGCCCAGGAGGCCATCCCGCCGGCGGGGCGGTGAGCAGGCGGTGGCGGTGGCGGCGGCGGCGGCGAGGGGAGGGAGAGGGTAGGGAGAGGCAGGGCGCCTGGCAGATCAGATCGGGCGGCTAGGTGATAGCCAGATCGCGCTGAGCGCCACCGCAGGGTCCGTGAGTGGTGATGTCGGGTTGCTCGTGCGGCTTCCTCGCACTCTGCGACTCAGCTAGGTGCTCTCAGGTGACGGAAGAAGAAAAAGAAGTGGGACGGATTATGGGATGATGAAATAGAGGCGATCGCCAATCACGCCGCCAGGTCGGCAGCCGCCTTTTGCCGGCATGCTGGGCGACATGCTGGGCCCTGCTGTCTTTATTGCTGAAATCTCCTTAGAACTGACACACAAATGTGAGCTCAGTATGTCACAGGGAAGCAACACAGTCAAAAGTGCATCGCAAGCATGCGTACAGTGGCATTGCGGTTCAAGCAAATGTGAGCTTGGGGGAAAAAGAAATGAAAAAAACGCAAGACCATGGCAGCCCAAATGATGTTATTGGCGCTATTGTTGGTTATTGGTGTATTATCAGGTCAGTCCCACGACTGCATGGTGATCAAATGGGATGACAGGCCAATGAAAATGCGAACAGACAGGACAGCAGGGAGAGCACCGGAATGCGGGAAGGGAGGGACAGGCCAACACAAATGCCGGGGAGAGCAGCGGAACGCAGGGGGAAAATGTTCGGACAGGTGTGCATTTGTACATTAGCAGTCGCGCATTAGCAGGTGTACATGAGCAGTTCTGCATTAGCGGTGGTGCATTGGTCCGCAGTTGGAGCAGCACACAATGCGGCAGCAGCAGGGAGCACGAGTAAGCCCTATGGGCTGGCTGTGCCTGACATTGCTGCACACGGCAGCAGGGGCAGGATCACACCCCAGACGGAGCGGCAGACGGAAGCCAGGCCGCTCAAACAGCCATCGATTGCTGCCGCGTGCGCTCCTCCGCCTGCTTCTGAATGATATGGGTCAGCCTGTCGGCCACCTGGGCAGCCGAGGGCCTGCAGGCAGCCAGCGGGCACAGCCAGGGTTGAGCAGCCTGCCGGCTGGGGCGCCCCACCCCACTGCTTCTGCCAACCAGGCATGCGAGCAGCAGGCCAAGCTCGGCCAAGCAGCAGCAGATGTGGAAGCAGCGGCTGCTGCTGCTGCGGCGGCGCACCTCTGGCGCGGGTCGTGGTGGCAGCAGTCCCACACAAGGCGGCGCAGGTCGGCGGGCATGGTGGCGGGCAGCAGGAGGAGGCGCCTGGTGTGCAGCTCCTCCAGCTTGCGCCCCACCACCTGGAAGGGGGCCATGCCCGTGAAGGGGCCCTCCCCCTTGCACATCCAGTACACCATGATGCCCAGTGCGTAGATATCCACAGCAAAACGGATCTCGCCAGACACGAAGATCTCTGCCGGGGCACACACAAAAGCAGTGCAAGGGCGCCAGGTCAGCAAGGTCGGGCGGGCGGGAGGCGCCGGACGCCGCCGTGGCTGCCGGACAGCAGCCTTTGCTGGTGCACAGCCAACGGTGCACAGCCAACGGTGCGCTCGGCGGGCGATGCCGGCTGAGCTGGCGTGCTGACCTGGCGCCATGAAGTCAACCGTGCCCTTGAGCTGCGACGTCTTGTGAGTCTGGCAGTTACGCAGCACGGTGCTCAGGCCTGCAGGCGCACGGCGGCGCAGGGTGGAACACAGCCAGACATCAGCGCTCAAGGCGAGGCCGCTGCGGCGCCGACGGCCGCCTGCACCCCAGCCGTCCCTCCCAACCCCTCCCTGCCCCCGGGCAGCCCACCAAAGTCGGAGAGGCGGGCGCGGAAGCCGCGCGGGTCTGACGCGTCGGGCGCCAGCAGCACATTGTTGGTTGACACGTCGCGGTGCACAATGTGCAGGCTGTCGTGCAGGTAGGCCAGGCCCTGCGCCACATCCCGCGCCGTGCGGCAGACCCAGTCCTGCGGGCAGGCAGCGAGCGGGGCGTGGCCTGGGCTGCGCTGCGAGCCAAGGCCGCACACCGCCCGAGCAGCTTCCGGCCAGGCCCTCCCGCTGCCTGCGGCGGGAGCTCCAGCAGCTGAGCTCCCCAAACCCGCACCAGTCCCCACCCAGCCCAGCCTCCCGCCCTCCCGGCTCTCCACTCAGCTCACCAGGTTGGGCACCCGCCCCCGGCGGTCCTGGAAGAAGCGCCCCGCGGCGATGGCGCGGTGCACGCTGCCCAGCGAGCAGTGCTCCATGACCAGCAGCGCCATGAAGCCCTCCACAGATGCCGAGGAAGAGGTGGAGGAGGAGGTGGAGGCGGTGGAGCAGGTGCTGGCGGTGCTGCGGGCCGCGGGGTGCCGCACCGCGCCCTCCGGCCCCAAGGAGGCTGACGAGGGCGAGGGCGGCCCCGCTGCCGCGGGCCCGCGGCGAGGCAACGCCGCGGCCGCGGCCGCGCCTGCGAGGGGCGCGGTGGCCGGCTGGTGCGGCGCCGAGGCGGTGGAGGGCTGGCCGGCGGCGGGCGCCTGCCCCTGCGCCTGCTGCTGCGCCTGCTGCTGGGCGGCGTGGGCCCGCATCAGCTCCTCATCCGCATACGCCAGCTCCTGCTCCCTGGCCGCGGGCGCCGCCTGCGCGAGCCCTCGCCCCAGCTGCGTGCGCACGGTGACGGTGCAGTGGTGCAGGCACTCCACGATGGACGGGTGGCAGCAGGCCAGCGCGTGCGCGCACTCGCGCGCCACCTGGGCCGCGGCGCGGCGCTCAAACGTGGGGAACTCGATGACCTTGATGGCCACCGTCTGGCCGAGGTACAGGCCGCGGTACACGTGCCCAAACGTGCCTGCGCCAGGGCGGGGTGGGGCGGGGAGGGCCTTCGCGGTGCGGTGGATGCGGCGTGCGTGCGGCACGGCGCGGTGCGGAGCAGCGTGGTGAATGTCGGTGGCGGCATGCGAGGTGGGCGAGCGGGAGCAGGTTGGGAGAGACCAGGAAGCGCGGCGCTTGCCGCAATGGCCAGCCGAAGGCAGCTGGCTGTCTGGCGTGCCACCAGGCAGCGCCCCCACCTTGCCCGATCAGCGCCTGCAGGATGATGCCCTTGGAGCGAGCCACCGCCACCTCGGGGCTCTCCTCGCGACTCACATACACCACTGCGGGCAGGGGCGGGCGAGCGGCAGGGACCACCACAGTTCAGAATCAGCACGACCGGGCAGCGGGCACGCCGCATGGCTCCTGCGTGCAGCAGCGTGCTGGGCAACAGCCCCTTGCACACATTACAACAATCGGCAACCGACACACACGCGCAGGCGACGCGCGCGCACGCTGCCCGCCCCGCCCGCCGCCCACCGTTGTGGTTGAGGCCGTAGTAGAGCACGGCCAGCGAGGCCAGCAGCGTGGCTGCCATAGCAGCCATGAGCTGCGCGTCGCTGGGGCGGGCGCCGCCGCCGCCGGGCGCCTCGTCCCTGGCGCAGCGCGGGGTGGTGTCCAGGGTGCGCCAGTGCACGCCGTGGGGCACGCTGCTGATCTCTCCTGTGTCCTCCACACGGACGGTGCTGCGGAAGGGTGGAGGGTTGAGGAGACGGGGTGGGGTGTGGACGGGCGAGCGAGGCAACCGGCAGGGCAGCTGGGTGAAGGTAGGCGAAGGTGGGGGGGCCGCTGGAGCACCGCGGGCGCCTGCCAGCTGGCATAGTGAGCGGCGGCGCAGGGTGAGCTGCAGGTGGAGGCCAGGCAAGCAAGGGTGGCTCACCGGTCGTCCAGCTGGGACCAGTCGGTGCGCCAGGTGGCCCAGTAGGCTGACTGCAAGGCAGGGGAGGGAGCGGGGAGACAGGATGGGCTGGGCGGGGCTGGGCGGGGCTGCCGTGGAGCGGGTGGCAGGCTGGGGCTCACAAGCTGGCAAGGGATGGGTAGTGGTGGTGGGAAGCCAGCAGGCCGGCTCGCGGCATGAGCACCCGGGCCGTTGCCGTGCGGCAGCGCGACGCCGCCCCCGCGGCGCGCTGCCCTGCTCGGCCCAGCCACGCATGCACCTTCACCATTGCCCCGGGCCCCCGCGCACCCTGAGCGGCCAGCCTGTGGCGGGCGACTGCGCGACGTGTGTGCAGGCGGCGCCCCCCAGCACCACGATGCTCCCGTTGTCGGCGCCCGCCGCAAAGCACAGCAGCGGCAGCACCGGCACCAGGCTGCCGGGGGCGCGCACCACCACCAGCTCGGTCAGGCGGCTCACATCCACTGCACCAGGCGCAGGGCGAGGGTCTGGTTGAGTGAAAAGGCAGCGGCTGGCGTCGCGGCGAGGGCGCACTCGGCAGCGCCGTGGGGAGCGAAACGGGGCCCTGCCCTGATGCGGGAGAGCCACACTGAAGTCGGCTGGCTCTGCAGAGGATGGCTGCACCCGGCAGCACTGCAGCCACTCACAGTGGGGAGGCTGCGCGCCGCGACCGTCCTTGCCCGACACCGTCACCACCGTCACCACCCGCTCCAGCACTTGTGAGGGCCAGTAGGCGGTGCTGAAGTTCCAGGCGCCGGGTCTCGCATTGGGCACCACCTCTACTTCACTGACGTCGCCGTTCAGCAGAGCGGCGTGCAGCTCCCCGACTGAAGACACTCTGATCTGCAGGCAGGACCGGGCGGGCCCAGGCCTCGCTTTTCACCTCAGGGAGGATGCTGGACGCGATCAGGGAACAGTGCGCAAGGGGAGGGAGCAGAGGCAATCGGCAGGGCACGCAGCCGCGAGTTGCGTGGCTTGCGCCTGCCCACTCGCCTTGGTTGCATCACCGGGAGACGCCAGCAGTGCGGCCAGCAGGCAGGCGAAGCCCACGGCCACGGCCCTGGGCCCAGGCATGATGAGGGGCCAGCTCGTGGAACTCCCGTCCCACAGGCGCTGGCTGGCTGCTTCTACGGCACCAGCCTCCACAAACAGGGGAAAGCGGCTGAACCGACCCCTTTGCTTGTTCATCCCAGCGCAGCATGGCGCGGCATCTATACAGGCGTACCGCCGAGCAAATCCCAGCGCAGCATGGCGCGGCATGAATGCAGGATTCTTTGCCAGCAACAGTGAGCCAGGCAGCCCATGAGCCCACGGCTGGCACTCCTGGGGTCGTGTGCTTTGTAAATGAAATTGGGGTGGGCCAGGGACATGCCCCCTGTAGGCGGGTAGGCGGTCTGTTTCGACAGGCTGAACATTTGCCCAGTGGTTGTGTTCAGCAGTGACATGTGCTGCACATGAGGCCTGTCGGTTATTCAATCTGGAAGCCTGATGATCTCCCTTGCCGCCCTGCCATGGCCTGCTATGCGTTTGTTCGCGGCGATGCCGCCAGCGTGGCGGGTTGCTTGCAAACCAAAACTGAAATGCTCTGCCGCCACAAATTCTGCATTCTGCCAGTGATAGTTATCGCCTGCCATCCTCCTCTGGGTCGCTCTGGGGCCCTTGGGGCCTGCCTCCCCGTGCAGCATGCGGTCTTCTGGGTCGGGATTGCTGTTTAGGCTCACCACGGTGCTAGAGACGGTCAAGAAGAGCACTGGAGGACGTGAGCAGCCGCTGCACGCCCTCCCTCACTCTTTTCGTTCGGGCCCGCCCTCCAGCAGCGTTTGGTTCGGACGCCCAGCACGCAGCAGTGTTGCTTTGTGATGCCGCGGGGCCTTGCTGCAACCATCCCCACACCTGCCTCCGCCGCCGCCGCCTACCCTGCGCTGCTTCCGCCGCTGTGCTGCCATTGCAGGAGCATGGCAGAAACCGTGGGGGTTCTCAGGGTTTAGCCCAACGCAGAAAAGGAATCGAGCCAAACAGATTGCGCAGGTGTGCAGCGGGATCGGGTGACTGTGGGCAGGGAGGAGGGTGTCTACAGAGGGTTTGTCAAACACTGCCGACCGACTCTGCCCTGTCGCACTGCCGCATGCAGGAGCATAGCGTCATGGATGTGCTGCGCCAAGCAGCTGCAGCTGAGCCGCCTGCAGCAGTCGCCACGGCCAAGCGGCAGCCATAGCAGGAGGCTTCCCATCATCCTTGAGACGATCGACTTGCAGCTGTCACGCCAACGAACGCGATTCAGCAGCCTGGGCGATGGCGTTGGCTGTGCAATGCGATGCAGGAGCTGCCAGCCACGACAGCTAGCAGGCAGGCAGCAGCGCGACACCGCTGCCTCAGCTGCGGGGAAGGCTATGCGGCGGTTGGGGTTTAGCAATTGCTCGCTGGTCTGTGCTGCTGCCCTGACTGGCATACTCTGTGCAAGCCTTCTTCCCTTGCTATCAGGCAGGACTGTAAACAGCAATAGCATATCAGGCAGGAGTGCAGCTGCTTGCACTGGCGGGCAGCCTGGGGACGGCATCGCCTGGAGTGGTCCCATTGCAATGTTTCAGTCCCTCCTTCTTCGTTTTCGGCCGAATGTGAGAAATGGCATTCTTTGGGCTCCCTTGGGTGCCGCCCCTATCCGGTTGTCAATTTGAGGTTCATACGACTTGTGGGGCTCAGGCACGCCTCAGGCACATTTCGGCTCGGCGGCCAATTGCATCGCATCCCTGCTGCAACGCCCGTTCTTGTGCCTGCAGCGCCATGCGTAATTACTCACTCGTCAGAGGCTGAACCTACACGGTGCTGCGCAGCTTGCGCCTGCAACACTCTGCTCTTTGTTCATCTTTCACTGTCGTGTTGTTGTCTTGGGAGGCACCCGAAACCCGCACGTGGAGGGGCGCACCGAGACGTCCACCCACCTCGGCCTTGCCCTGTAAGGTTTGCGGCTCCACTCCCCTCTTCAGAAGATCCAGGCCAAGGCATTCATGCGGATTAGGTGGGCGGCACGGAGCCAGCTGAATGCGCAACGAATATGCCCCCCACATGAGCTAGTGGTGACGGTGGCTTGGCCGCCCGTGGAGAGAGTTGTGCGTGCAGATCTGCTTGCCTGCATTCTGATATAACTGCAACCGCTGCCGCAGATATGAGGAGAAATAGCGATGCCATGGCTGGCGGCATGCTTAGCGGCTGGGATGTGGGCACTCGGGTTGCTGATCCGCCGTCAGCGCGATGCGGCTGGGCGCTCCCGCGCCCGATGTTGGGTGCGTGTGCCTTGCGCGTTGTCTCTGAGATGCTTGCCAACGACCCACCACTCTCCTTTCTGGCACCTCCAAACTCTTTATCCTTTCCCAAGGCACCACCACCCCTTCTTCTGGCGCCTCGGTTGCCCAATGCAGGGACCCGGAAAGCGTCATTGGGTCACCTTGCCAGTAGCAGCCCTTGAGGAGGGGGAGGATCGCCTGTCGCTGGCCAGCTTTCTGCAGCAGGTGAAGCAGCAGTGGATGCAGCTGGGCATGTGCCGGCGCCCGCTCAAGGACCGGGAGCTGGAGGGGCTGGCCAGGCAGGCAGGCTTTGGCAGCGGCCTCCATCCACACCAGCAGCCGCTTCCTGCCCGCCTGGCGGCGTTCAACGCCTGGTTCAGCAAACACCTGGAGGTCATTGCAGCAGTGGGACCCGCAATATTTTGCCATCCGACAGCCCAGCTTGTGGCGGGGTTCGATGTGAGTCGGGCAGAAGCGGTGCAGTGCCTGCAGCTCTACGGCGTGGGCGCCTTCTGCCTGCGCCTGAGCTCCGTGGCAGGCCACCTGGTGCTCAGCCTGGTGGAGGACTACTCCAGCACGAAATCGAACCGAATCAACCATTACCTCTTCACTGCGGACCGTATTCGCCAGGCCGGGCTGCCGCGCCTGCTGGGGGGCATCCCAGGCTGCTGCCAGCGGCTGGTTGATCTCAGCACAGGCAGGCTGCACAGGGCCAGCCTCGTGCACAAGGCGTTCACGCGAGCAGATGCCGCTCTTGCGCCCAAATGTTGACCAACCACGAGTTTTTTTTTGTGGTTGTTGCACTCCACTGATTGAAGCTCTGTATTGCCGAGACTCGGATTGCTGCCGCGTTTTTCCCATCCCGCAACCTTCAACTTCCCCGCCCACCTCCTCGCACGCCTGTCAGCTCAGCAGCTCAGCTTCAATTTTTAAACAATTGCCTTTCAATGACTTAATTCGTTTGCATTTCCCCATGTAAATTGTCACCTGTTGACCAACGCCGCCGCATCTGCCGCTACTGAACCAAGATGGGCATGGGTCCGGGGCACTGCAGTTGCTGGCCAGGGATCAAGTTGGAGTAATGCAGGCATTCTGTGGCTGACAGTTGACAGAGCTCACAACACTGCTACCCATACCCTACAAACGCGTCACTCCCTGTCATTGGCAGGACGGCAGGACGACCAACCTGGCGGTGGCGGCGGTGCCTTGTGGAGCCACACCCGGCCCCTGTGTTTGACCGTTCAGCCTGCAAGGCTGGCATCGCTCTGTCCCTCTCTTCTCGCTAGGGGCGTGCACGACAGCAGGGGCTCGTAGTTTGCCAGCGCTTGTGGCGAGCAGCTGAAGGCGGCCGCCAACCCCTGAGCAGACGGGCTGTACAACCCCATCTGCACGCACCAAGCACTCTGGAAGCTCCCAAGCCGTCATCAGGCTGATCATCGAGTTCGCGGCCCTGGCTGTGGCTCCTCCAGGTGTGCGTCGGGACGCAGGAACAACCGCTGGAAGCACCCCTGGTGCTGCTGATGATGCCCCCACAGAGTTCACACCTTGCCCCGCCACCTGCCGCTCCGCCACCTCCACTGCTGCTCCTCCACTGCTTGCAGGAAGCCCACCGCCAGAGGGTTCCCAGTATAGCCTGTCAGCGCTTGCAACAGCAGCGGCAGCGTGACCCACGGCACACGGGTAGGAAGCGGCAGGCGTCATGGCGGAGGCTAGCCACAAAGTGAAGACCATCACCTTCCGGGGCCGGCGCGTCCCCATCATGCTGCAGGTCTGTCGGCAGCAATGCTTGCCGCGGCAAGCGCCGTGCCGGGGACACACAGCCGTGCAGCGCTCGTGGCCCCCACGCTGCCAACCCCACCCTGAAACCCTGGCCTCCCTTGCGCCTGGCCGGCCCACTCCGCAGGACGTCAATGGGCCATGCCCGCTGCTGGCGATCGCCAACGTGCTGCTGCTGCGCAACCAGCTGCAGCTGCCGCCAGGCGTGGGCGAGGTCTCGCAGGTGGGTGCCCCCGCAGAGCCAGCGACGCCGCGTAGCACGTCGCCACTGCGGTTTTGCTGGCAGGGGCCGCGGCGCTGCCTCTGCCTCGGCCTCGGCGACCCACCGCCCTCCCCCCCCCTGCACGGCACCCCCGCTGCGCCCCGCAGGGCCGCCTGGTGGAGATGGTGGCGGGGCTGCTGCTGGATGCCAACAGCCTGGAGGGGGGGGCGGGCGTGAGCGAGGAGCACGCGGCCAGCCTGCAGCAGAACCTGGCCGACGTCATCGGCCTGCTGCCCCAGCTGTGCACCGGCATCGACGTCAACCCGCGATTCACCGACACGCGCGGCTTCGAGTTCACTCGCGAGGCGGTGAGGCTGCGGCAGCCGCCTGGCCTGGCTGGCGCGCGGCTGGCGGCAGGTGGCAGGGCCGAGGCAGCGCCGTCACCCCACACCTACGTCGTGCCGTGCCTGCTCTGCCGCCTGCCGCGCCTGCCCCGACCCTCCAGCCTTCTCCCCCTCCTGCCCCTCCCCCTCCCCCTCCCCCTCCCCTCCTGTGCTGCCCCCCCGCAGGCCGTGTTTGACCTGCTCGACATCCAGCTGGTCCACGGTGAGAGCGCTGTGTGGATCGGCGTTTGGGGAGTGCGCCCCAGAGGCTGCCGCCAATGCCAGCGCGCGCGAGCTGGCAGCGCAGCCAGCGCCCATCCTGCGTGGCCCCGCCGGCACGCTCCCCGCCGTGCTCCCCGCTGACTGCCACAGCGGGACCCCCTCCTCCCTTTCCCTCCCCGCTCCCTCCCCTCAGGCTGGCTGGTGGACCCTCAGGATGAGGCCACGGCGGCGGCGGTGGGCTCCAGGAGCTACAACGAGCTGGTGGTGCGGCTGGTGACGGCGCTGGGCAGCTCCGCCACGCCCAAGCAGCTGACGCCCACCGCCTCGCTGCGCGGCGCGCACCAGTTTGGGGCCGGCGAGGGGCTGACGCCGCGCGGCAGCGGGCTGGGCGGCACCGGGGGCGCGCCCGCGCCCGCCGCGGCGGCGGAGCAGCAGGGCGGGCCCGCGGCGGGGCCGCCGCAGCAGCAGCCGCAGCAGCAGCCGCGCATCAATGCCGGCATGCTGTCGGCGGCGCTGCGCGACACGCTGCACGTGGCGGCGCCCGCGTCGGCGGCGCAACGCGAGGGCGAGGGCGGCGGCGGTGGCGGCGGCGGCGGCGTGCTGGCGGGGGATGGCTCCTGCGCCTCCTCCATGCTCAGCATGCCCACCTCGGACAGCATGCACAGCATGCACAGCGTGGTCAACCGCATGCTCACCGACATTGTGTCCGACGCCTTCACCGCCACCCCCACCGCCAGCCGCAGCACCGGCCAGGTGGCACTGCCTGGCGGCACCCCGGCGGGCGGGGAGGAGGAGGAGGCGACGTCGGTGCTGCAGCAGCCAGGGCTTGTGGAGCTGAGGCTGGAGGTGGCGGAGGAGGAGGGGGAGGGCGCTGAGGGAGCGGTGCGCGCGCGCCTGCTGCTGCGCCGCCCCTGCGCCCGCTGCCCTCTCCCCTTGACAGCCCCGCCGCCA